ATAAAAGTTTTATTCAATCACTGTATTTTGATAGATTAGACTATCGCACACAGGCAGGAGATAATGGATTGAAGAGAGTGTCCTTGAAGAGGAGGAGCTCACGCCTCCTTTCTTATACAGTCTCAGGAGACAGTCCATTTCTGACACCATCAAGATTTCAGACGGCTGGCAAGGACTATGAGCCAGCCCTATGTGGTATAACAAATCAGCACATGAACGAGCTAACCATGTAACTAGTGAGAGAAAGAAAATGAAATCACTTCTGCTTAAAATCTCTCAATGTCATCTTTTAACCTATTAAGGTCATCGGCTCAGGTGGCTTTATGGCGACCCAGTCATGTGTATGGTAAGGAGTCACTAGAAGCCATCATCAAAGTTAGTAAATCTATTTCTGCTCTCTGCAAGCTTTACTCACGTAGATTGATCTGCACATCTCTCTTACTGCCCAACAATTAGGGAAACAGCAGGAGGTGCTCTGAGGAGAGGGAGGAGAAAGAATACGAGACCTACTAGGCAGATATGCACAAACAACACAGATTCAGAAAAAAGATGCTAATTGGTATTTTTACATTGGTATGCAAGAGGGAAATCAAGGCTCATTTAAAAAAATACTCACTTTCTGGGTCAGGCACGGTGGCTCATGCCTGTAATCCCAGCACTTTGGGAGGCCGAGGCAGGTGGATCAAGAAGTCAGTAGTTCAAGACCAGCCTGGCCAAGATGGGGAAACCCTGTCTCTACTAAAAATACAAAAATTAGCTGGACATGGTGGCAGGCACCTGCAATCCCAGTTACTCGGGAGGATGAGGCAGAGAATTGCTTGAACCCAGGGGGTGGAGGTTGCAGAGAGCAGAGATCATGCCACTGCATTCCAGCCTGGGCAACAGAGCGAGACTCCATCTCAAAAACAAACAAACAAACAAAAAAGAAAACACAAAACAAAACCTCACTTTCCTGTAACTACCTACAACTTTGTGCACTGATTGGGTCTTCTTACATACTTTTGTGTTTTGGATGCTGGAATAGTCATCAGCATAGACTAATTTTGATACTGATGATCTCTAAATTCTTCTGGCAAGAGGGCATGGTTAATAAAAGTTAAAAAAACAAAATTGATTCATATATATGTGTGTATATGTGTATATATACACACATATATATAATGTTTAGAATCAAAAATCAAATATGTATTTGTGTACTCTGAGAGAAAACCTTGTTAGTTAAATATTGATATGAGGGTCTGTCACTTAGTGGCAAAAATTCTTCAAATTTCAAATCTTAAGATCTCTTCCTTAATTGTGGGTTTCTCGCAATCGTGTGCTGGATGCCTACACTACCACAAAGATCTCTGGGAAATGCTCTTTGGCAGCTGAACTTGGAAATTATGATGAAAAAACACTCACTAGCACAAGTTGTGTAAAAAGATGGTGATGCTACTTTCAGAAAATTTAATAGCTGTTTGCATTTATTTATACACATAAGTGCCATCACCATATTAATATAAACTGTTTCTATTAAAAGTCGAAGGAAGTGAAAAAGAGAAGAGGGAGATTCCTAGAGAAAAAAGAGAAGCACAGAATCAGCAGCCTCTACCTTCCCAAACCATTTCAAAAATCACCCTACCCATCAGGAGGATTTAAAATTTTCCCACTTTATAAAAGGAAGGGAAATAATTCTCGATTGGAGAGAAGGGACCTTATGATCAAGCCATTACATTGTTTCCCCACTTTTCAACGTATGAGTAAAGAGGACAAGACATAGCTACCCACCTTCTGAAGCAAGGCAGGCCTGAGGTTGCACTAGCTTCATGTCCAGGTCACAGTCAGTGTCGCATCTACCGTGCCTTCCACTTGCAGCTCGGATGCAGTTCTGCATCTGATGCATTGGATGGCATGTGATGGCTTTTTCCGGGTATAGTATCAGAGTGATTTATGAGAAAGGCATCAGAAACGGGTTGAGTCTTGCAGTGCACAGTGTCTTCATACCCTTGACTAAAAATGCTAACAAGGGGGAACTTTGCAGGGCTCTAAAACAGCTCTCAGTCATACTGTAGTATATACAGTGCTCCCCGCTTTGGCCTGGCATTAAGATCCTTTTGAAAGGCCAGGCAAGGTGGCTCATGCTTGTAATCCCAGCACTTTGGGAGGCCGAGGGGGGGAGATCACCTGAGGTCGGGAGTTCGAGACCAGCCTCACTGTTTTTTTCATATGAAAGGAGTCATTCACATCAATGAGTGCTTTGTGGGCACTGGGGTCAGAAAACAGGCAGCCGTACAAGGCAGTAGGTACCCGTTTCCATTCTTAACTAGGCTAGTCAGTTGAAATGCCCAATATATGTACCTTTAAATCCCTTACTTAGGCTTTGAATGATTGCAAAAACCAAGTTTTGTTTACGAATTTAGTTTTCCTGTTTTCTCAGTGCTAGGGAAGGAGCACTTTCTTCTCTTTCTACTGACAATGAGGCTCAGCTCTTGACAATGTAAACTCTGTAAGAAACTCTAGAATTTTGACACGTTGTTGTATTCACTCATTAAGCAACAAAGCCCCTTTCCCAAATAAATAGACTTGAGGTCTAGATCAGGAAGGCCTGAAGAAGTCAAGTTAGGTGCAGAAGAGCCGTCTTTTGAAGTTCACCATGAAAACAGTGCACGGGCACAGAGTGGCTGCAGCTATTGCTTGTGAGGATAAACGAGATAATGGATACTCATGCGCTAAATTGTGTCTTTTCCCCACAACCCCTGCCCCAAATCCACATGTTGAAGTCCTGACTCTCAGTGCCTCAGAATGTGACTGTACTTGGAGGCAGCACCTTTGAAGAGGTAATTCAGATAAAATAAGGTCATATGAGTGGACCTTAATACAATATGACTGATATCCTTATAAGAAGAGGAGATCAGGACACAGTATGCACACTGAGGAGTGACCATGTGAGGACATAATGAGAGGAAACCATCTACAAGCCAAGGAGAGAGGCCTCACAAGAAACTAAACCTGACAGCACCTTCACCTTGGACGTCCACCCTCCAGAACTGTGGGAAAATAAATTTCTGTAGTGTAAGGCACCCTATTTGTGGTATTTTGTTATGGCAACCCTAGCAAACTAATACAGATTTGAAAGTATTGGTAATTTATGAAGTATTATACAAATGTTAGTTATTATTATGTGATTATGTTGCACTGGAATAATGTTATTATTCTAAAAATAAGAGTGAGGGAGGAAGACGTATCATGAAGGAGCTAGGGAGTGGAAAGCGACCTGGACACTAAAAAGGAATGTCGTTGAGTAAAAATGGATTGAATGCTAGGTGCTTGGTTGTACCAAGATGAGGAAACTATGCATTTTGACCCCTAGCAAATGTCAGCATGATAAGGAAGATGCTGAAAGAAGCTCGGGGAGTAGGGGAAAGGCAATTACTTCTTGTTGGGTGTGATGAGTGGAGGTGGGGAAGGGGGAGTTTGCAAAGTTTTCATAAAAATAACATAACATTGAAGGTTCAAAAACGAAGACTTTTCCAAGTCAATGAAGTGAGGGCAGAGGAGAAAGCAAGTTCAGCAGCACTGTTACATGGGTGTGCCATGTCACTGGGAAGAGCACACACTGTGCTGGCAGGACATGAAACAGAGGGGACAGTGCTAGGGGATAAAGTTGAGAAATGGTTGGCATCAATTTGTGAAGGGCCTCGAATGCTGTGTGAAGGGACCTGGACTTTACCATACAGACAATGAAGAAGAAAAAGTATATATGTATTTTATTCTCTCAATAGTTCTTTACTTTATGATTTTATCTGCTTTTCTCACTTTCATCTTCATACCTTTACCCAGACTTCAAGTGCTGTCTTTCCCAGTCCACTGGGTTCCATCAGCCAAATGTTCCTTTAAGTCCATCTTTTCTGAAGACTTAGCTGATTTTCTATTGAGTCCATTCTTGAAAGCTAATCAGTAACTTGGATGTCCTACCCTGTGCAAGGTTTGTCACCAATTTGATGGATCTTTTAGGAAAAGTCATTTTTGCAATTTGTTAAGAACTGACAATAATGGTCATTTAGAGAGGTCTTGTCAGCCAAACTGTGATGGGGCCAAAACATAGATTAATTGGGAGAGTAAAATGTGTCTAAAAGTTGACATATACCCTGTTGTCTAGTCTGGGCATTCTCTCTCTCTCTGTGTCTGAATTAAAATAACATCCATCAATTACGGAACACAGCCAAACAGTTAAATATAAGTTATGAGATTAATTGGAAATGCATGCCAATTCTTGAACAAGTTTCAAGAGAAACCTTTATTGATTCATGTTTATATATCACAGGGAATAATGAAAGTCACATTCATCCTTTACTTAAAACAAACCCTCATCACATCTACTTAAATAGCTCTACAGAAACTTTTGACTATGGTGGGTAAGCTGTAACACTACAGAATACACAGCTCACCACAATTATCTGGTGAAAAAATGGGCTGAATGTCTCAAAAGGCAGAAAAACTCTTATTACCACATTTTCTGCTCCCATATACCAACTTGTAAATTAGAAGTAAATGTACATGCCTCTGATCTCAAAACTATCTTCAGTACACTAATAAAATGCTTCCATATTGGCCAAGAGTTAGTTTTTATATTTTTAGAATTTATTCTTCTAATAAATCTAAAATATTTAATACATAATTTTCGTTATAGAAAGGAAATTCTTAGAGTATCAGTATAAATGAGGTGGTTGGGAATAAGAACTCTGGTGTCAGATTACCAAGGTTCAAGTCCTGGTTCTCCAGTTTGTAGTGACCTTGCCTAAGTCATTTTTAATCTCCCTGTACCTTAGAGAATTACCATGAAGATTAAGTAAGGTAATGGAAGTACAATGCATGCATAGCACAGTAGTGGGTAAAAGCAACAACGTGCTACATAGAAAAAAATTATTTTCTGCTAGATGCTGCGTCTCTAAATAGATTTTTAAAGCTCTAGTGTACACCTGTCTCTTTCCACATAGAATGAAGTGAGTTGACAAGGAAGTCATACAGAATGCCTGATATGACTCCCATCTACAACTATAACTCCTCTGCCAGTGGGCAAGAAATGATAATGCTGATGCAATTGATAAGTCACAATTGCAGAAAAATCAGTTCATTTACAAGTTTCAATAAGTGGCTCAGAAGAAATTGACTTTTACGTGGCTCTAAGCATGGAGGTCAGGGAGTTTGTGTTGAAGAGAATACTTTTGAACCTTTGAAGCAAAACAGATGTTCATACCTAGGCAGAAAGGTTTATTTTGGGTCTTACTGTTGAAGAAAAGAGGTGCAAAGTGTAATATTAAAATACTTAGTCCAGCTTTGCACCAGGAGGCTGTGCTGAGAACAGTTAGAGTGAAGATCTCACTCCTCAAGCAGGGTGGTAGAGTTCTTGTTTGTTGATCGAAGTGTTAACCAGCATGCTGCACGGATAATTTCTTCTCTAGGTAAATGGGTCACAGATACGAGAAGCAGTGCAGGCACCATCTTGTCCATCTGGGCTTCCAGCAATGTCTGGAACTCTTAAGATGCAAAAACAGAAAAACAATGAGTTTTCACTGTTGATCTTGAACAGAGCAGGTACACAATCAACAGCTGTTCAACAAACTCATCTACCACTGCAAAGTTGATTTCTTTAGGGGTGAGATGTGGATAAAGATTCTCCTATCTTTCTGACACTCAGCACCCATTTTGTCTGGTCCTGTGGTATGTTTTGCCTGAGGAATTTTCCATCATCACATCAAATAAAACTAATGTTAAAATATTTGCCATGTCCTCAATTTTTCTGGTTTTTCATTTTAGCAGAAATTCTACTTATAGTATGATTGAAATGAAAATGACTCTCTCTAGTTCTGAAAATGATATTCAGGTTATGGTTATTAAAAACAAAACAGAGAAATGGAACTCTAAATAAACATTTAAGACAAAATCTAATGATGATAAAAATCAGCAATATCAGAGAGCACTTGTTGTTAATTTGGTAATGTTATTCAGAGAGGTGAGGCATGTGATATAAACATGGGGCAGGGCAAAAAGTATATATTTTTATTAATAAATAGTAAAAGCACAAGAAGAAAACAAAATTCTTTTCACAATACCATCCAACTTAAAAGTTCAATAAAAAATTCTCACATGGCAGTTTCCTCTCTAAACTGAGAAATTCTTTTGTAACTAAAACTGTCATGAAGTTGCCACATTAGACTGATGACCTTTAGTTATAATTGGATAATCAAATTTTAAATTGTCAAGAAATGGAACTGAAATTCATGGAATTTGCCAAGAGAATAACTCTTTGATACACATTTGACAATCTGAAAAATACCACAAGCTTCTATTGCATTATCCAAGGGCAAAGCAAGCACCTGAATATTCTTTTTAAAAGCATTTCCCTCCATGATCTCAGGATTAAAAAATATCTTAGTCACGTTTGATGAATTTGTAATACATTTGCTTCAAGTTTCCTTTGGAGTAATTTTATCAGAGATGATTTTCCATGAATCCAGTCCTCGGTATAGGTTATCTTACAGCTAACTTCTTATTGTAATGACATTTAACCACATACTTACAATGCTGCCCAGTCTCCAATTATTAACTGAGAGTATGGAAGAAACAATTCTTAAACTGGGTGAAACTTGTAATGAATAGGAATTAAACATCTTTAATGTGTGTGGATTAAGAAGACTATCCTTTACTGAATTTATTTCACATTGAAATGTTGACATTAGAGGTGATATTGACAAAAGTGAGGCTGATCAATATTGAACCCTAAGGGTCAAAGGACTTCATGTTTGGTGTAATAAGCAACTTAGTTTAGATATTACAGTGTTTCAGTAAAGTAACAATTATTAAGGGTCAGGGGAGCTTTCCATTATAAACTGTAATTTGGGGAGGCTTGTATATTTCCAGTCTCCAAAGGAAGGTGATAGTATGATCAAGCAAGATGGTGGCTTGGAAATAAAGAGAAAGCGAATCATTAAATTTGAATTTGAGGAATGAAATTATTTCCATTTTTTAGATTCAAAACTTTTCTTTTCTTATCATCTCCATTGATCTTTAATGAAATCACTAAACCCAGGACACTTTGGATGAAAGGTAAATCTCATTTAAAATTTTAAATGGCTGGAAATCTTTTCTCATGAAAATTATCTAGCACATACAAGAAGTCTATAAATTATTATTTTTTTTTTTTGAGACGGAGTCTCGCTCTGTCGCCCAGGCTGGAGTGCAGTGGCCGGATCTCAGCTCACTGCAAGCTCCGCCTCCCGGGTTCATGCCATTCTCCTGCCTCAGCCTCCCGAGTAGCTGGGACTACAGGCGCCCGCCACCTCGCCCGGCTAAGTTTTCATATTTTTTAGTAGAGACGGGGTTTCACCGTGTCAGCCAGGATGGTCTCGATCTCCTGACCTCGTGATCCGCCCGTCTCGGCCTCCCAAAGTGCTGGGATTACAGGCTTGAGCCACCGCGCCCGGCCGAAGTCTATAAATTATAAACACTAGCGAAAGGAGCTCTGTATCAGTGCAGCTAGACATGGTTCAATGAAACATCTTCTACACTTTCCACTTAGTCTCTGTGCAGAATGTTAGTACCACATGAAAATCGTTACTCTTCACTCGAACATACTTGATCATGTTTGCCTACTCAATTGCTTAAGATTTCATTTTTCAGCAAATATTACTGTTTATTTAACTAAGAAATAATGCTTTAATTATTTACTTAAAATTTTGTGTTGAACACATTGTGATTTGAACTTCAGAAAAAGCAAACAATAAGGTAAATATATACCAAATATTTTATGAAAAATAATGATGAAATAAAAAATGGGTAACTTCTTAGAAGTAGATATTGCCTGGCTTAGAATTCAATAACATAATTCATTCCCTTATTATTTTGTTAAATTAACACAAAAAAGTTTAAGATTACGGACTTTGGGTTTAATAAAAATTGCATATCTGAGCACAGAGGAGGAGGCCTAGAGTACTAACTCCAGTACTGTCTGTCTATACCGGGCCCAAATAAACAAAACTTGTGAATCTTCAAGTCCTTCCTTGGGCAGACACTAAGTGCTCTGCCCTCTTGTGACCCTTCGTTTTGAATTTAGAATGTACAGATATGTTCAAACAACAGAAGTGGGCATTGATCAGTCAGGGAAGAAGCCATGCACTTTCAGTTTCCATTACATTAAACAAAACACTCATTAGTGCTTGGCATTTTCCCAAACAGACACAATCAAGGTGTCCACTGAGGGCTTGCCGTGCAGTTAAGAAGTTTAAAAAGACCTTCTAGACGTCAGCTAGGGACAATTAAGAGATGGGTTAAACTATTCCAGGGTAAGAAGGCTGGAATTACTGGAAATAAACACATGTAGAAAATCAACTGCAAATAGACAAACCACTTTATTTTTAAGATCAGCTAGATATTCAAAGAGACAAAGTCTAAAGATTCCTCTGCTTAATAATTACTGCCCTCCTTGATGAAATCACAATACACTTTACTATGGGAGTATTCAGGTACATTAAAACTAAATCACGTCTAGATATGTGGCAGAAAAAAAAACCTGATGGAAATCTGTCATCACAACATAATTGTTCCTATCCTTTACTCAACAAGGAAACTAAGTGCTGCTACTACTAACAGGTCATAATAATGTAAGTTAGCTCAGAAATCCATATCCATTAAAACTGTTGAAACATGTTTTATGCTAAACATCCACCCCTAGATCCTCTTAGAACAACTTCTAGAAAATATTACTGAGGGCAAATACTTGCATGCAGATCAGATCAACTAAACTGTTTTTCCAACTATTTCCTTCTTTCCTTCATTCTTTCTGTTTCCCCTGTTGTCTCTTTTTGCCATCCATCCGACATTCATTAAGTACTATCTGCCAGGTACTGTGCCAAGTGCCAAGCCTATAAGAGTGAACAAGACAGACAAGGGTTATGTGTACATGAAGTTACAGTCTAGCACATGCTGCAAAAGCTTTTATATGACCTTTGCTGCTGTTGGTATTAAAACAACTACATTTGAGAAATCTTAATTCAAGACTAGTATCATAAGTTAAACTTCAAAAAATCATTCATGTTACCTGTTCTTCACTCTCTGGGTAGGGGAATGAGAAGCAATGCTTTTCGTATCAAAACTTCTCTTACTATTTTTTTTTTTTTATTTTTTTGAGATGGAGCCTTGCTCTGTCGCCCAGGCTGGAGCGCAATGGCACGATCTCGGCTCACTACAACCTCTGCCTCCTGGGTTCAAGCAGTTCTCCTGCCTCAGCCTCCTGAGGAGCTGGGATTACAGGTGTCCGCCACCATGCCTGGCTAATTTTTTTGTATTTTCAGAAGAGACAGGGTTTCACCACGTTGGCCAGGCTGGTCTCAAACTCCTGACCTCGAGTGATCTGCCTGCTCTGGCCTCCCAAAGTACTAGGATAACAGGCATGAGCCACCGCACCTGGCACCTTCTCTTATTTTAAAGTGACATTTATCTTTGAACTTTGGCTGATGCAATCTAATTTACCAGGAAGTTCTAGGAACAAATGTTAAATATAAACTCTTTCTCAAAAGGATGCTGTGTAATCTTTTCACAAGAAGTGTATGAAAGAATAGGCAAAAGGAAAGAACGTATACTTAACATGGAACATGAAAACCTCCTTGAGTTTGCCACAGTATATTCTCCCTGCTTTTTAAGTCAAAGACACCATTCTATCAGTACTTAACACGGATCTTTAAATCCCAGAGCTAATAATGCTTCCCAGCTACAGCTGGATGCATCTGACAAGCAGCATGTAGTAGGAAACCTCACAGGGGATAAGGTTCCTAACAGTCAACTAAGGGTTCAAATCCCAAAAGAGATGCCCCTGGAGTGCAGAGCACTTAACCCTTCGACCAGTACCAACATGACTATTCACAAATTATTGATGCTGCTAAATCCTTGGCAGATTGCAGACAGTTCTTGTATCCATTGAAGCTGAAGCATATGGCCACTAATGAGATAGATTTTTAAAAAATACATATACACATTCAGTCTTTGCTACATGAATGTAAATCCACGGAAATGCTAGAAGGTGATTGAACTGGATGGAACACTGTTAAATACATGCTTAGTCTCATGTTATGGATCATTTCCATTGACATCTATCTGCATCCTCAGTACAGTTTAATTAAAGCTGTCTGGAACAAGTCTGCCCTCTAAATGATCAGCAGTGCAATGAAAAGGTGAAATCTGAGGAGGCTTGAGGCCTTTTCTGTAAAGCATTCAAATGACTGTCTCTGTGGTTGAGAAGAGCAGCAGAGAAGAAACTCATTTTCAAAATTAGCCGGCCATTATACTTTTTTTTTTTTTTTTTTCAAAAAAAGGCAAAGCTTCTTCTGATGTCATCTTGAAATACCAGAAGCTGAGTTAGTTAGTCATATAGCAGATCTTAAGAACTCAAACTGGACCATGTTCTGGTCCCAAATAAACATGTTTTTTTGACTTGAAAACAGTAAATACTGTAGCAAACTTTCTTAGTATTTTATTTTGCAAAACAAAATCCCCAAATTGAACTATTTTGCCTAAATAATCCCTTAAGACAATTTTGCAACTAGATGGCAGGAACATCATCTGTTAGATATTTTCAAACAACTAAAATGTTTGTTGAATTCTCTGATGTTTCCAGCACTTTGTTAAAGTACCAGGGGAAAAAGAATAAAATGTGGATCTAGGGTATAAGAAATGTGAGACATAAAAGACTGGATTTTAAATTTATTAATTTGTATTTATTTTCTCTGGCATTTTCCTTTATTATGATTTTATTTAAATATATATAGATTAAATTATATTTGTTCTTTAATTCCAGAATTAATGGTACTTTATAAAAGTATCAAAAAGACTTCAATTTTTAAAGTCTCATTTTAAATATTTTTTTCATTGGCTTTTCCACACAAATCCATCAGTTATGGTGTAGGCTTTTTCTTTTCATTTAATATATATTTGATATCTACTTCATATAGGACATTGAATTACACTCTGTGCCTAACACCCACTATCTGCCACCACAAAACAAAAATAGTCTCTCCCTGTCTAGTATAATATGTTTATCCAGGATGGGGAAAACTCATGAGTAGCAGTAACCCAAAAAAGCATCCCTAAATTCACTCCATTCAGGAGTACAGATGATTTTAGCCCTAGTCAGACCTAGAAGATATTATATTGAAGCAAATAAGCAATATTTATCGAGTGCTTTGTGTGCATTGGCACTGTGGTGGGAACTCTGAGAAATAGGATTCCAGTACAAGCTTCCTCAATGAACTTACAAACTGGGAAGATAGACACATTGAAAGTCATCAAGGAATGATGGAGTCAGATGAGTAAAAACTGGAGTGATGTTAAAGGCATTTTGAAGAAGATGAAGCTTGAGGTGGGCTTTGAAGAATGAGGCCAGAGGTCCAGGCCAGAAATACCATAACAGGCACACAGGGCCTGAAGGGCCAGGTACAAAATTGCCCGGCCTGGAGTGGATGCTTTGTGTTGAGAACAGCTGGGGTCTAATCAGAACAGAAACTACTTGAATTTATTTTAAACAGAAGGAATTTAATACAGGGAATTGATTTTAAAGGTGACCAAAGGCTGGGATGATGAACAGGAGACACGATAGCAATTTAGAGATGAGCAACTTCAGGAAGCTGCCAGCAATGCTTTGGTTGGAATGACAAGGGAGAATATAGAGTTTCTGGAGCTCAGAAACCAGGGTCACTCAGAGGATGATGGAACTAGAGAAGGCTTAACCAGTTGGATCTGGAGCAAAGGAGGAATGAAGATGCAATCATTTCCAGAGATCTGTATGAAGCAGAGAGAAAGAGAAATAACTTGACTTCTGCCACCCCCTAATCTCCCACCAATGTCTCTTATTTGCCAGGCCCAGTCTGAAGTTGGCAAGGAGCCTAGGAAAATCATCCTGCAGGGGTCAGCTTCCCTGTGATACAGAACAGGGAGGGGAAGGCGAGGACTATGTATGACAAACAGGCTAATGATTAACAAACAGAGACTAATGCAAAATTGTAAGATTATTATAGTAGGACCCTTTTATATAATGGGTTATGAATGTCAGGGACAGGAATTTAAACCAAATAGGCTAGAGGAAGCCATTTTAGGTTTTTGAGAAAGGGGAAGATAGAATGAAACTGAGATTTCAGAAATATATGGCCAGAGTATGAAAAAAGATTTGAGGCAGGGTGACCAGTTAGGAGGGAGTAACAGATTAAAGATGGCCACAAGCTCCTTGACATTCCTCCCCTTGAAAGGTAGGGTGTATTTCCTTTCCCCATGAATCTCAGATGATCTATGGAAGAAGTGACACTGTACCAGTAGTCTTTAAGAGGACTGGGAGATTACATTTTGGTATCTTGGAGTCCTGAATTGCCATATAGGAAGTCTAACTATCCTGCAGAAAAAGGTCATCTGGAGAAGCCCAGAGAATATGGGGCAGGCAAAAGGGCTCAGCTGAATCCAGTTTCCAGCTGTTGCTCACCAAGGCACCAGACATGTGAGTAAAGCTGCCTTAAACCCTCAAGACAGGCCCAGCTACCAGATGAATTCCGATGACTGACTGTTGTTAATGAATCATTCAGCTGAGCCTTGCCTAAATTTCTGATCCACAAAATGATGAATTATAATACAACGGTCTTTGTTTAAACTCACTAAGTTTTGGGATATTCTATTATGCAGCAGCATATAACTAGAGTGGAGGCTATGCAGTAATATGAATATATCAAGATAAATCCCCCAAATTAATTGTAGTAGGAATGGAGAAGAGGCACAATTTTTGGAAGAGATCCTGAGTTTTTTTGTGTTTATAATGGGTTGACAATTTTTTTTTTTCTGAAGATGGTCACATAGCAAATATTTTTGACTTTGTGAGCCAACATATCTTTGTTGCTACTATCCAACTCTGTCACAAGGCAAAAGAAGCCACAGACGATATGTAAATGAATATGTGTAGCTGAATTTCAATAAAACTTTATTATAAAAACAGCTGGCTGACTAGCATTGGCTGTGGGACATACATTGCTGACCTCTGGTTTGTTTGTTTATTTATTTATTTATTTGAGACGGAGTCTCACTCTGTTGCCCAGGCTGGAATGCAGTGGCCGGATCTCAGCTCACTGCAAGCTCCGCCTTCCGGATTTACACCATTCTCCTGCCTCAGCCTCCCGAGTAGCTGGGACTACAGGCGCCCGCCACCACGTCCGGGTAGTTTTTTTTTTTTTTTTGTATTTTTTAGTAGAGACGGGGTTTCACTGTGTTAGCCAGGATAGTCTTGATCTCCTGACCCCGTGATCTGCCCGTCTCGGCCTCCCAACGTGCTGGGATTACAGGCTTGAGCCACCGCGCCCAGCCTGACCTCTGGTTTATAAGGTTTGAAGTAGGAAGGAAAATTCAACTGGAGATATGTTACATCTAGATAACACACAGGAATGGAGCTTTGTGACGTTTCAGGACAGGAGTATAGATTGAAGAATAGCTAAATATTCTGGAAGAGGGACTACAACATTGGTGTTATATGTTTTTAAGGTTGCTTCTGCTTTGTTGTTTCTTTTAAGAGACATTTGGATAGTTAGTAAACACACTAGTGGGCTCAGGAATTACTTTAATCTATAAGATGGTTCCACTGAGCCAGGGAACTTATAATATGCAGACAATCAGAGAACAACATTAAATAGACTTTCAGTTACATCTAGGTCTGCTCTCAATGGTTTTCAGATTTGTACAATTTCAACCCAATATATTTTATGAGTAAATTGGACTATTCTAGTACCATTTTTTTTCTGTGTGTGGCTAATACCATTCTAATTTTTAATTTATATCACATTCATGATTTATTTGAACAATTATGAGTTCGGCAATATTTCTTGCTCATATTTGAAGAGCA